AGGGCACGCGGTATTGGCCGAGTTGTGGCTCGGCGGGAACGAGATCGGCGACGAGGGCGCCGCTGCGCTGGCCTCCGCTCTGCGCGTCAACGGGGTGCTGACCACTCTTCGCTTGTCGGGCGACCCACGTGACAGCAGCTACGGCGGCATCGGCCCCGAGGGTGCCAGCGCGATCGCAGAGGCTCTTAAGGTCAACGGGATCTTGACCAACCTCAACCTCAGCTGGACCGACATCGGCGACGAGGGCGCCACCGCGCTGGCCTCCGCTCTTCGCGTCAACGGGGTGCTCACCGACCTCAACCTCGGCCACAACAAGTTCGGCCCCGAGGGCGCCAAGGCGATCGGCAAGGCGCTCGCGGCCAACGCGGTGCTGAAAAATCTCGACCTCGGCGAAAACGAGATCGGCGACGAGGGCGCGAAGGCGATCGGCGGCGCTCTCGCAGTCAACGAGGTATTGACCTCCTTGGACGTGAGCTACAACAGCTTGACCGAGGAGGCGGCCCTCGGCATCGTGCGCGTCGAGCGGCAGCGCAACAAACTCACCTCGCTGGGCTTGGGTCGCTGCAGCATCGGCCCAACTGGCGCTGCAGAGATCGCCGAGTACGTGTCGGGCAGCGGGGTGCTGACCAACCTCGTGCTCCCGCAAAACAACATCGGCGCGGAGGGCGCAGCCGCGATCGCAGAGGCGCTACGCGGCAACGGGGTGCTGAAAACCCTCAACCTCCGCTACAACAAAATCGGCTCCGAGGGTGCTGCCGCGATCGCCGAGGCGCTGCGCGGCAACGGGGTGCTGACCGACCTGGATCTCTACGGCAACAACATCCGCGACGAGGGCGCCGCTGCGATCGCCGAGGCGCTGCGCGGCAACGGGGTGCTGACCTCCTTGGAGGTGGGCTTCAACAGCCTCACCGAGGAGTCGGCCCTCGGCATCGTCCGTGTCGAGCGGCAGCGCAATAAGCTCACCTCGCTGGGCTTGGGTGACTGCAGCATTGGCCCGACTGGCGCCGCAGGGATCGCCGAGTACGTGTCGGGCAGTGGGGTATTGACCACCCTCAACCTCGGCCGGAACAAGATTGGCGACGAGGGTGGCGTCGCGATCGCCGAGGCGCTGCGCGTCAACGGGGTGCTGAAATCCCTCAACCTCCGACTGAACGTTATCCGCGACGAGGGGGCCGCTGCGATCGCCGACGCGCTCGCCGTCAACGAGGTGCTGAAACACATCGACCTCCGTTTCAACAGTTTGGGCGACGGGGGGAAGGGAGTTATTCGAGATGCGGCGAGCGGGCGGGTAGGGTTCGAGCTCAAGATGTGAGGTG